CAGATCACCTGCTTTACATCCTAAAATACCAAGTGATGTAGTCCCAAGTTAGGATCAGCTGCCCTCTACTGGCTCTAGCGAAGTGATGTAGTGATGATATATGGTCACAGCAACCATACAGAACTCAGAGCTAATTTTTGATAGAGATTAAGTTGGTGAAATCTATTTGAAGCATTTAATCCACAAACAGCAGGTTTTTCTTCAGTTTTTTCACCAATATTGTTTTGTAAATCATGCCATAGAGAGACAGATTTTATATAAACTACCTCTATCGATGGCACATAGCACCTGTCATCCTACACTGCTGGCTTTTGAACAGGTACGGCTAAATTAGAAATGCTCAACACACCTTTTATATTTTGAATTTCAATTTCTGAAAGTGTTTCACTACATTACACTAATGTTCTATTTTTATGTTGGTCTATTACATAAAACCCTGTACAAATGCAGCAACCTTTGCCCTTGTAGTGTAACAGGGTGTAGAAGTAGTTCAGGGAGTATGATTACCTTTTCAGGCCTCTGTAAACCGTGTCAATTGTGAATGGAAAAAAAAAAACATAAATGCTTACTTGTTCAATCATTCCACCGGCAGGGATGAGCATGCCTGACTTCGACAATCAGACGTTGGCAGCGCTGCGGGGAAGAATGGTGCGGTACCTCATGAGATCAAGAGAGGTGAGAAGAATCTCCTGAAAGCACTTGTTGACATGTGCTTCTATACTGGGAGCCTGATTAAGTGTGTTCACACAGATCACGCTGGGGAGAGCAACAAAGGACAAACAGATAGATGTAGATCTGTCACTAGAGGGACCCGCTTGGAAAATATCCAGAAAGCAAGGTAATTCAAATCTAGTTTCTTTTACTGTACCAGGATCAATTAACATTTCAGAGAACAGAGAAACAAACACCAAAATTGCTGCAGTATTTAACCTTATTTAAACATTAAGGACACAGACTTTCACACTAAATGCTGTTTGCCTTCACAGGAATAATTAAACTGAAGAATAACGGAGATTTCTTCATTGCTAATGAGGGACGCAGACCCATCTACATCGACGGCAGACCGGTCCTGTCAGGAAACAAGTGGAAGCTGAACAACAACTCAGTGGTGGAGGTGTGTAGAGACATTTAGCTACCACTGGTAAAGATGAGTGAAAAATCTTACAACTCTTCTATAGATGTTTCTCAAACTGAGACATATCCCTATGGGTTACATAGGGATAATATGTATCCACCTCCCTCGCCGTGGAAACCGCGTTTGGTCTGAATGCACCTTGAGATTTCATCATTAAAAGATGAACTGAAAGAGTTTGATATTGTAAGTTGCGGTTTCTCATGTTTTCTGCTGCCATTTCATTTGTTACTGTGATTGGCCAAACCGAACTTTGGTAGGCGGGCTCTAGGTGTCGGTTTACCCAATCATTTCTGAAGGTTCTGCTAAATGTCTTTTCTTTTCTGGATTCATCAGAGGAGACCCATATTGATAATGTGTAGTGCTAAACCTGAGTGCTGCACATTATCAACATGACTTATCAGGTTGGCTAAACCTGGAAGTCTATGCCCCTAGTGGCTTCAAGACAGAATGCACTACACTTAAGTTTCTACTTGCTTAAACTCTACATACTGGTAGAATGATAATTGAACCCTTTAAAACATTTGATTGTGAGAAACGAGGCTGAGTCATTGCTTCAGTTTATCCTACCAACACAGGCAGCCCAGAGGTTCAATTTAATAGTTTATCATTGTGATATGCTGCAGCAGCTGAAGGTGTTTTTCTCACATCTTATCAGAGAAGTAATAAAAATGAAGGAGCTGCTTTATCAAAGCTGAATGACAAAAAAACTGTTTTCTTCTGTTTAGATCGCAGGTCTTCGTTTTGTTTTCCTAATAAACTTGGAGCTCATCTCACTGATAAAAGCTGAAGCGGCTAAGATGTCACAGCAGTGAAAGGTCGGGTTCTGTCAGCTGACAGACAGTAGCGTCCGCCAGAGCATCGCCATGGAGACGAGGACTCCATATAACCTTATTGTGACTCTTGATGATTTACATCCTGGAGCAACATGTTTAATGTGGTGTATGGACATTTTATTCTGTTATGCCGACACTCGTGGTTGAGTCCTGTTGTGTGCAGTTTTGCAGAACATTGTATTTAAATTCTCACACCAAGCTTTTGTTGTTTTTTTTAATAATAAACTTGTTTACTCTGTCTTCTTTTGCGTCTTAGGTGTTTTTTTGTTTGTTTTTTTAGTCAGATAATGTCTGTCATACTGATTTATGGGAAGATGCCAAGATTAAATACATTACATCAATTAATAGTATGATAAAAATGTATTCCCTTTTTTTTTCCCCTGTGTGTCTTGCTCTCTTTGTACTCACCCCTCCCTGACAGAGGAGTAACAAGCAAGAGAAATGCAGGTTGAGGTTTGGAGAAACTCAGAATTTGTTTTTCAAAGCAGAACAGGACAGTTGCAGCATGCGAGCACTCTAGATTAAAACAGTGCTATAATTTATCTAAATAATTTCTGGGAAAATTGACCATCTGGGAGACCTTTGTTGTTACAGTATTGTTTGGACTGGTGGGAAGATTTTCTTGTATAAATTGATATTTTTATCCAGAAATTATTGCCAATCCTTTTTGCTGTGAATCAAGCCCNTATGTATCCACCTCCCTCGCCGTGGAAACCGCGTTTGGTCTGAATGCACCTTGAGATTTCATCATTAAAAGATGAACTGAAAGAGTTTGATATTGTAAGTTGCGGTTTCTCATGTTTTCTGCTGCCATTTCATTTGTTACTGTGATTGGCCAAACCGAACTTTGGTAGGCGGGCTCTAGGTGTCGGTTTACCCAATCATTTCTGAAGGTTCTGCTAAATGTCTTTTCTTTTCTGGATTCATCAGAGGAGACCCATATTGATAATGTGTAGTGCTAAACCTGAGTGCTGCACATTATCAACATGACTTATCAGGTTGGCTAAACCTGGAAGTCTATGCCCCTAGTGGCTTCAAGACAGAATGCACTACACTTAAGTTTCTACTTGCTTAAACTCTACATACTGGTAGAATGATAATTGAACCCTTTAAAACATTTGATTGTGAGAAACGAGGCTGAGTCATTGCTTCAGTTTATCCTACCAACACAGGCAGCCCAGAGGTTCAATTTAATAGTTTATCATTGTGATATGCTGCAGCAGCTGAAGGTGTTTTTCTCACATCTTATCAGAGAAGTAATAAAAATGAAGGAGCTGCTTTATCAAAGCTGAATGACAAAAAAACTGTTTTCTTCTGTTTAGATCGCAGGTCTTCGTTTTGTTTTCCTAATAAACTTGGAGCTCATCTCACTGATAAAAGCTGAAGCGGCTAAGATGTCACAGCAGTGAAAGGTCGGGTTCTGTCAGCTGACAGACAGTAGCGTCCGCCAGAGCATCGCCATGGAGACGAGGACTCCATATAACCTTATTGTGACTCTTGATGATTTACATCCTGGAGCAACATGTTTAATGTGGTGTATGGACATTTTATTCTGTTATGCCGACACTCGTGGTTGAGTCCTGTTGTGTGCAGTTTTGCAGAACATTGTATTTAAATTCTCACACCAAGCTTTTGTTGTTTTTTTTAATAATAAACTTGTTTACTCTGTCTTCTTTTGCGTCTTAGGTGTTTTTTTGTTTGTTTTTTTAGTCAGATAATGTCTGTCATACTGATTTATGGGAAGATGCCAAGATTAAATACATTACATCAATTAATAGTATGATAAAAATGTATTCCCTTTTTTTTTCCCCTGTGTGTCTTGCTCTCTTTGTACTCACCCCTCCCTGACAGAGGAGTAACAAGCAAGAGAAATGCAGGTTGAGGTTTGGAGAAACTCAGAATTTGTTTTTCAAAGCAGAACAGGACAGTTGCAGCATGCGAGCACTCTAGATTAAAACAGTGCTATAATTTATCTAAATAATTTCTGGGAAAATTGACCATCTGGGAGACCTTTGTTGTTACAGTATTGTTTGGACTGGTGGGAAGATTTTCTTGTATAAATTGATATTTTTATCCAGAAATTATTGCCAATCCTTTTTGCTGTGAATCAAGCCCCTACATATGCTCATTTCTCTTTTTTTATGTATAGCTATACAGTATTATAGACTAAACTAAAGTGTAATTTTGCTTATTAGAAAAAAATGTAGGAATTGATTTATAAAAGTTTTAGCAAAGCTCAAATACAGGTTGTTTGTTTTATATCGTTAATAATATATTTTATTCATTTTTTATGCACACATTCATCAATTGTCCTGAGAAAGCATGCTAATTTTGTTTCAGTTAGGTAATTAGTTTTTCCCTTAGACCCCATTTCCAATAGATGCTTTGCCAACGGCCGCTAGATGGCGCCAAAGAAGAAATTGGTTATAAATCCAGTTTTAAGCCACTACTGGGAACATTTCTCTTGAGAAGCTAGGGCAACAATAAACAAGATATTTTCACAAAAAAGGTAAATTAAATTCATACACACATCTTAGAGTAAAATTTATTAAGATGTATAAATCAGCACCATTATCTGATTGAAGGTATAGGCAATTTAAAAGTTAGCTTTGTTTATCCTGTATTTACAGCTGCATAAAAAAAAAATTAAATACAATTACAAAGAAAAAAAATCTAACCTTACACCGAATTTAAAAAAAATTCAAACATAATGAAGGCTCACAGCTAAATATGGGGTGGGGGGGTTAGACTTTGACAGATTCTATTTTGTATACACAAGTGTAAACTAAAAGAAATTTTGTTAAGAACAGCTCTCTAGACTATTTCATTTTTTAAAGCGCAGCCTTTATAAGGCAAGCAGCAGTGATTAATAAAACAACAAATGTGATGAAAGACAGTAATGTAAACATATGTATGACTGTATAGTTACAGTTCTAACATTCAATTAACATTTTTTTTTCTTTTTTTTAGTTACAGTTCTAACATTCAATTAACATTCTTCTTTTTTTTTTTACCCATTTTACATAACGTTCAGCAGTCTAATGGCAGTGGGATGCTTTGAAGCCTCTTTCCAGAGGGCTACAGGGAGAACAGTCCATGGTGGGGCTGTGAGGGGTCATTGAGGATGTTTCGGGTTCGGGACACGCAGCGCTGGGATGAAATGTCTTTAATGGAGAGAAGAGGAGCCCTGATGACCTTCTCACCTTCCAGTCTGAGGCACTGCAGCCTCCACACCACACAGCGAGACAGCTGCTCAGAA